GAGACCAGACTGAACGTACATCCTATTCGCCGTGTGACTCTTGAGTTTGCATTGTGATACGGGAGCGCCTCACGTTCCCTCTTAGGGGCTGCTCTTGACTTGGGTCAGAATTACGAGCCCCGAGAGCTGGGCTTTTATAGGCATCAGAGTGTTCACGGGATTGCTGGAGCCTGGCTCTTGTAGCCCCGTCTCCCCTGGGGCGTGAGGGGAGCGTTTTCCTCAGCCTAACGGTGGCTGCTGCAGCCTGAGTCATTGCCTCTTTCCGCAGCTTTCCATATAGTTTACAGTTCAGGTTTTCTTTCAGAGTTTACATTTTTATGCATGACTGCTGAATTCTGATAAAGTAAAACTTTAGTATTATAACAAATTTTCTAAGAGGTATTGAAATGTCTTTGCTTTTTCTTAAAATGTTTTGTTGTATGCATTTGTCACAGTGCACTTTTTTTGTAAGTCTTGGGGCACGTCTTATAGCCCTGCCCTGAGAGTCATCGCTTACCACTTCGTAGTGTGTGGGGACAGGGGCCGAGTGGCTCAGCACTAGGCCCAGCACGGATCCTGACAGAGTGCTCCCTGAGGACCGTGCAGCTGGGTGTGGTGGCGTGCACCTGTGATCCCAGCACTCGGGAGGCTGAGGCAGGAGGGTCGTTGCAAGTTCTAGAGCAGCCTGGGCTACAACATGAGCTCAAGGCCAGGCTGAACTGCATAGCAAGACCCTATCTCAGAAAGACCAAAACAGAATAGCTGCAAAGAGAAGGGAAAGAAATGCTGCGCTTAGCAAATTGTTCCCTGCAGCAGCCTGAGGAGCTGGCGCTGCCAGGAGCTCCACGCTGGCCCACGTCCAGGATGTACGCCGTGGCTGCCGGGCTCCTGGGCTCAGGGGAGCTTTTGCTTGGTAATATTTTTAGCCTTTGTTAAGTAGAAAGAATACTGACTAAAACTTAACGTTTAATTATTAAAATCCCACTTCTAAGAATTTATTTTCCATTGTTAATTCAAACTTGAAATTCTAGAGGCCAAATGCTTTGAAGTAAACGTACACAGGAGTGCTGTGTATGTAGGCTGGGAGCCGGCCACGGGGCCCACGCGTGCTAGTGAGTGGCTTGGTCTCCTGGGAGGTGTGCCAGCGTTCTCTGTACCAGATTTCACTCCGTCCCTTTTGCGTGCCTCGCTTGTGTCTGACTGTGATAGACTTCAGAGCCGTAAGCACGAGCGTTCGGAACACGTACAGTGTGGCCTGCATTTGCCAGGCTTCGTTTCTGTGATTCTTGCCGTTTCGTTTACTGGCGTTAACAGCCACCTCCAACCATTTGCTAGAGTTCAGTAAACCAGCCTCTGACCTGCCTCCTCCTGCTTCTCTTGTGTCCTTTTTGGAGGCGGGGTCTTGCTGTGTAGTGCCCCACCGGGGAGCTCACCTCTTTATTTCTTACCGAGCGGGCCCATTCCTCCGCGTGCCTCTCTTTCAGCCCGTGGTCCCGCGGTGGTGGCTCTGCAGCACTCGTGCCTCGAGCTGCAGTGTCCTTGAGAGCCCTGGTGGGCTGGCACCTGTCTGTGGGGCTTGGACCGGCCGTCTGTGGCCAGTGACCGTCTGTGGCCAGAGTCCTGGAGAAGAGCTGGGCGGGGCTGCAGCTCGGCAGCCCTGAGCTTGATTCCTGGGACAGTGAGGGGAAAAATAGCTTAGGTAAATTTTCTTTTCCCAGGACCTTGCCGGCTTTTGTTATTTGATTGCTTGATGGTAGCCATTTTTTCAGAAGTCAGATGGACTCTCAGTGCTGTTGTAGCTGCAGTTCTCTGATAGAGATGCGGAACTTTCCCTACAACTCCCGCCACTCGTTCTGAGCGGCATCTCTCCATGTCCGCGGGCTGCCTGTCAGCGGGTCCTTCACTCTGGGGAGCGCTTTTTGTGGGCGCCGCATGGGCTCTGTGTGTCGGCGCCTGGGCAGCCTAACCCCCCACCCTGCGGGTTGTTGCTTCACTCTGCTCCTTGTGTCCTTGGCTGTACAGGAGCTTTTGGATTTGGTGTGATTCCATTTGCTGGTCCTTGGTACTAGTTCTTGTGCCACGGGGGTTCTGATCAGAAAGTCCTTGCCTCTGCCTTTGTCTTCAGAAAGTGTACCTACTTGATCTCCTAGCGGATTATGACTCTTGAAGATTTAGATCTTTGATCCCTCTTGATTTGGATCCTGATTTAATTTTGAACAAGATAATTTGATAAGGACATTGCCATTTCCTTGACCAAAGTGAGATTTGTTAGCCAGGTATGGGGGAACACATCTGTAATCTCACCACTCGGGAGGCCGATGTAGGAGGATCACTGAGTGCACGGCCAGGCCAGGCTGTATAGGAGTTCAAGACTAACCTGAACCACAGAGCGAAACCCTGTCTCAAAAAGATAAAGCGCAATTTGTGAATGTCACGATGTAACCCAGTAGGACAGTATTCGTTTTTCATCCCAAAAACATGTCAAAGTAGGGAAGCCTAAGAGACTGTCTACATAGAAATCCTGTGGAAAATTTAAAACTTTCCAGTGAATGCCCCCCGCTGCAGCTATCGCTAGGGGCTGCTTCGAGCGCATAGCCTGTCTGTAGTGGGCTCCGCGCCGCTTGCAGTCTGTCCACTGTTCTGTACCATGGCAGCTCAAAGAGCTCTGAGCAAGCACGAAGGATTAGACTGCGAGGAGGAGCGAGGGCCGGTGTGAGGGAGGGGAGCTTCTGAGAGGCTCAGGTGCTTAGCACAGAGGGAAGAGTGCGTTCTCATTCATCTTTCCTCCCTAAAACCAGCCTAGATGAAACTTTAAAATATTTAGACATGCCAGGCGTGGTGGCACACACCTGGTCTCAGCACTCGGGAGGCTGAGGCAGGAGAATCACCCCAAGTTGAGGCCAGCCTGGGCTACAGTAAGTTTGAGACCAGCCTGAACTGCACAGTGAGGACCCCGTCCCGTGAATCAGTAAATAAGCTAGGATATTCAAGGACGCTCTCCCGTGACTCTTCAGTGCAGTGGAGCCGTCGGCTCCCGCGTCCTCAGCAGAACTCTGCTCGTTGAGAGCTGCCTCTCGGAGGAGGATTCGAACACGGCTGCTTTCAAGTGCTGTAGTGAAATAAATGAAGAGGCTAATTTGGGCCGCAGATAATGCTGGAATTTACTGAAATTATGGAACTTACGTGTAGTTAAGAAATCTAGACAACGTGACTTTTTCTTATTTCCTGTTACTGTCTGTCACAGCTAGCTACACTCTGAGTGCTGTGCTCTAAAATTCAGATGCAGTCATTTAAAGTTTATATCGGCTCCTCTGGGTAGGAAGACGGATTTTGGAGCTGCTAAGTGCTAGGAAGGCAGCAGAAGGGCCGTTTGGGGGATGGTGAGGAACTGAAGTGTCCAAGCAGGAATGGGTGTCAGGTTCTGAGGAGTTTATGGGAAAAACTGAAAGGCAAAATCAGGAAAAGGTTTTGCTTGGAGAGAAGAGGAGCCTTCTATCAGGGAGAATGAAGTACTGAATTTAATTTTTATCGTATGAAAACCTTAGCTGTCGTGGTGGTGCTTGCCTGTGATCCCAGCACTCGGGAGGCTGAGGCAGGAGGACGGCAAGCTCCAGCCCAGCCTGAGCACCTACCTTAGTGATTCAGCAAGACCTTGTTTCAAAAAAAAAATTGCTTCTAAAGGCCTGGGGATTTAGCTCAGTGTGAGGGTCCTAGGTTCAGTCCCTAATACTGAAGAAAAAAATGGTAAAGTTTCACTTCAATTTTGAAGTACTGGGTGGGCCAGATAGCCCAGTGCTCCAGTGTCTGCTTCGGCAAGCTTAGGCAACGCACAGGGACCACATGCTGCGCCAGCCCCGCCCCCAGGGTGGGCTGAGCAGCCACAAAAAAGAAAAAAAATTACAGTCCTGAGGGAAGATTGAGTATTCAGGGTGTTATTTCCCATGGCTTCCTGGAGGTGGCAGTGGCGCCCGTACAGACATTAAACCTGGATATAGGACCGTGTGATAGTAGCAAAGAAAATCCCCAAAGCACTTCGCTTTTTTTCCTCTTTTTTTTTTTTTTAAATGTATTTAGTACAGGATCTACAGGGTCTCACTATGTAGATGGGACTCGTAGTGATCCTCCTGTTTTCAGCCTCCCAAGCTGGGACACAGGCTCACACCACCACCAGGGGTGGGGCCAGCAGTGCACGCTGGGGGTCACCCCAGTCCCTGCTCCTGCTAAGCAGGCACTTTAGTCCGCTGAGCTATGTGGCCGACCCCCAAAGCACTTAGCTTTTAGTGTACACATTTTCAGAAACAGTATACATTTTAAGGTAAAAGTGAGACTTAACTCATTATTCATTCCTGATCCAGGAAGTACTTTGGTCATTTTTTTCCCCAGTTCTACAGTAGATAACCAGGAAAAAACTTTCTTCACACTCTAGTCCTTCTGTTCCTTAGCTCCTCTTTGCTGTACAGTTAGGAGACTAACTCCCACACATATTACCATTGTCTGGAAAATCACAGTGAAACGATTTTTAATATAAAATCATCCTAGTCACAGCTTCCAGCTTTCTCAGCTATGAAGGCCCCTTCTGGCCTTGCTTCCCCCGCGGGGTACCTGGGGCAGCCACTGCTCCACTGGGGTCTGCCACGGTCCCCACCCCTGCCTTCCCCACAGTGCTGCAGGACAGCCAGGCGCTTGGTGCTCAGTGCCACAAGGAGGCCGGGCCCACCCATAGTGCACCATGCATCCCGTGTGGATCGCAGAGGCGTCCCCGGCTCATTCCCAGCTACTGTCATCAATCATCATGCCAGAGCCGCCAAGGCAGCCCCTCCTGAGAATCAGGAGCTCGGAGGCCCTGACGGACATTCCCAGCTCAGTCTGCGCATGTCAGCGTCTCAGTGTGGTTTCAGATGTACTAACTAGGGGCCGGGGAGACAGCTCAGCAGAATAAGCGCCTGCCGGGCAAGCGCAGGGTCCTGAGTTCAGTCGCCGGCGGCCTACTAAGAGCAGAGTTTCTGTGCCAGGAGTCTAGCCCAGTGGTGCAGCACCTCCTGCTGTGCACAGGCCCAGGGCTCCATCCTCAGCACTGCCAAAACAAAGAGGAGCGTAGAATATCCTTTGACAGACGTGGGGTAACGCGAGCACAGTGACTACAGCTAGCGTCATTTCATACATATGTATGTCTGTTTACGTACTCTCCTTTAGGCTAGGTATGGGCGCTCTGCTTACACTAACGTCCAGGCCATGAAGAGCAAACACTTTGCCAGGTGCCACTACGCGTGCGGAGAAAAGCCTTTCACACCAGCAGGATGGCTCCCCCACAGATGGCAGGAGGCAGGTGATGCTCATTCATTCATAGAATGAGAACCAGCTGGTTGGCATATCTGAGCCTGAGACAGATGAGTAAAGCTAAAAGGGGGCAAAACTTGCTTAGTGTTTTTATCTTCTTGAGAGTCACCAGTATACGTCAGGCCTTTGCTTGCAGTGTCTAGCTTTGAACTTTTGAACAGTCTTACGGGATGGTGTTCCAAGGAATCCGTGTCCATCGGGTGCTCAGTGGGAGTAAGTGGGTGCCCGCGTGGATGGGATGCTGCCTTGCCTGGGCCCGGGTGGTGCTGGGGGTCTCCGCAGGCCCCACTTCTTGTGCCAGTGTGCCCAGGGTTCCCGTATCCATCGGGATAAGTGTACCGTGTCTGAAGCCTACTCTATAAGAAAGGATGAGATGAGGTTACCTGAGAGCATTTTGAAGGCTGCGAAGCTACGTAGGCAAACGCATTTGCTATCGCTAGTAAATTCACGGAGCTCTGAACACTCTAATCTTGCACCGCAGCAATTTCCGGTTTACATACTGCCAAAAGTGGAGTATCAGGCCTGTTATGGAGTGGAAGCTTTGACGGAAAGTGAACTCTGTCGCCTGTGGACTGAGAGCTTGCTGCACTCTAACTGCTCCTTTTATGTCGGTGAGTTCAGCGGGAGCCTCTGCGCTCCTCTTTAACTCCCCAGAAAGCTGCCTAAGTCCAGTGGCAAGCCCCGCCTTCTGTCCTTTTTGGTTTGGGTGTGCTTCCTGCTAGACCTCATCCTGCTTGAGAATTAAGTGGCCAGATGGCGCTCATGGTGTCAGAGCCTCACTGTTCCTGCGTCCCGTTGCTCTTCAGCTGCACACCGGTGCTAACGCAATGTTCTGTTTCACAAGTGCTGTGCTCAGCAGTGCAGTTAACACAGGTGTGCTTCCTGTGTTGAAAAGTGCTGTTACTAAATCTGTGTCATTGACCTACGCGTGTGCTTTAAAATTTTGTTAAAACTACAACATTGTCTTAAAATCTTAAGTATTATCTCAAAGCATTTTGTTGGCTTTTATTTTGATGTTTTGGAAGGGAAAGAATCAGGCGAGGGTTTGCGTCGGCCTGGGCCAGCTCGTTGGCGGGGAGGCCTCCCCCGCACCGCTCAGCGCTGGCCTGCGCCCCTGCCGGCGCCCAGCTGTGCCGCTCCGGCCTCACCCCGGCACCCCAGGCCTTTTCGCTCCTTCGTCTCTCCTGTTGCTTCTTTCATTGCATGTTACTTGCAGTTTCTGCTCTGTTGCTGTTCTCTGTGTGTCCCTCGATTCCTGCCTGTCCTTCTTGCCTACTCCAGAGTACTCCCTTGAAGTTGCGCTGCCGTCTGGGTCGCTCTCTGTCATGAGAGTGTTGATGGGATAATTGCTGTCTCTGCTCAGCCCAGAAAGCAAGTGGCGAAATGCACTTCCTGGTGGGGCTGAACCCGCCTTTTGACATGCAGCGCTGCCGCAGGCTTTTTTTTTTTTTTGCGGAACCGGGGGTTGAACTCAGACCCTGTGCTTGCCAGGGAAGCGCTTATTCCGCTGAGCCATCTCTCCAGTAACCGGGATTTCACTGTCCTCCGAAGCCTTCCTGAAAGTGGCTGGCAAGCTGCGCCTCCTTTAGGAAAGGACCCAGCAGAAGCTCATCAGCTGTTCTAAAAGTCAGACAGGTGCTGGAAGCCTAGTTTTAGTGCACAGTCTAACACATGAAGCCGCCATCCACTCTGCAGATTATGTACTGAGTACTTGGGCAGGGGACTGCGGATTGGACCCTGAGCCTTCACACGTTCGCATTTTTATTTTTCGGACCTTCTGAGGCACGGTCTCGCTGTGCAGTTCAGGCTGGCCTTGAGCTCACGGTGTAGCCCAGGCTGAATGCACACCGACCCTCCGCCCCGCCCCGGCCTCCCGAGCGCTGGGGTCACGGGCGGGCGCCGCTGGCCGGCTGCACCTGCGGAGGAGCTCCCGCGAGCTCAGAGCAGCCGCTGCTGTGTGCTCCTGCGCCTCGGCGAGTCTGCCCACGCTGCAGCCATCTGTGTGGTGTGGCCAGAATAAACAGCGTTCGAATTTGAAAAATACCAGGTGGCCGGCACGTTGCCCTTGGCCTCGCGATGCCTGGCCGGGGAGGCGGCCGCCTGGCGACGCATGCGCTGTGCTTGTGCGGCACAGCCGTGGCTTCCGGCGCTCTGCTTCTGTGGGCGTGTACGCCGGGCGCAGCCGGCTTGCTTCTGTGGCTTTGGTTCGGTGCTAAGGACTGGGCCTGGGTGCTGTGCGCGGTGGCCACCAGGCTGTGCTTGTGCCCTGGGAGTGCATCTCCAAGCCGTGTTTTAAAAGCATCTGCAGTCCTGTTTAATTTAGTTTCTAACATGATAGTAAGAAAATCGCCGCAGGCTTGTTAGTGCACATTACAGGCCCTGACCCAGCAGGCCTGGGCGGAGGGCGCAGTGCCCCTGCTGTGTCCCCTGTGGACTGCGTGCTGCGCCCTTGCGTGGTGCTGGCGCCTCTCCTCCAGGGACCTGCGCAGCTCACAGCCTGTGTCAGCTCGGGGAGCCGCACTTGCTTTTCTTTTATTTGCTTTGCTGTGCTATAAACAGGTTCCCCTCTTTGCCCTGATTACAGCATATAATCCCATTATAATCCATAATCCTGCCCTACAAAAACCTTAAAATTCCTTTCTTTTAGAAAATTTCTGATGTCCCACCACTCTCTGCCTTTCCCCTGTGTCTCTAATTCCGTGTGTATTCCATGTAGTTGCCATACAGGCAGGCCGCACTTTGCATAAATTTCAGTTTTGACTGAACATTAACAGTGAGACCAGGCATGGTAATCCCAGCACTCAGGAGGCTGAGGCAGGAGGATCGCTGCAAGTTCGAGACCAGCCTGGCTACACAGTGAGACCCTGTCTCAGAGACCAACGCAGCAAGTAAATCTGTGGAGAGCCTTCCCTGCAGCTCCTCGGAGCATTGAGCTCTGCCCCGTGTGCAGCCGGTTGCCTCCTGTCTTCAGTGATAGCCATGTGATAGCTTATCAGAGAGCATCAGAGGAGGGCATGGCCAACGTGAATTAGTGTAAAGCCAAGAAGCAAGAAATAATACTGCTCAGCGTGAACTCCGAACCAAGCTCGCTGGCGTCAGGAGTCAGCGGCAGAATGTTGCACAGCAGCCCGCTGTGGGGGAGAGGGCCCCGGCTTCCTGTAGTGAGCCCCGAGCGAGCGGTGGCCGGAGACCCTGTTCCGGCCCCTCTCCCTAGGGCAGGCGTCTGTTCTCTGCGGCTTTCGTGCTTTAGCAGCAGCTGGCAGCAGCGAGGACCCTGAGCAGCTGTGACAGCCTTGCAGCTTCTCACGGCGCTGTGGGATCTCCAGTAGTGTCTGCTGTGTGCGCAGGACGGCGGGTGGCTGTGGAGGGGAGGGTGCCGCGCAGTGCCAGCTCTGTCCCCTGCACCACCCTGCCCCTCCACACATGCACCCGTGCACCGTGTGAGTAAAGAGCAGCGAACGCCCACGCATGGCCGTGCCTGAGGAGCCAGGCGCTTGCCGCTACCAAGCCCATGTGTGAGTATCTCCGGCTGATCTTTAGGCTTGGGCTTGTGCTGTTTCATCATCAGTTAAAACGTTAGAAAATGAGCTGGCCGTGGTGGTACATGCCTGAGATCCCCGCACTCGGGAGGGAGAGGCAGGGGGACCCCAAATGCAGGGTCAGCCTGGACTATAGAGTGAGACCCTACAGAGGGAGGGAGGGGGGAAGAGAACGCCCTGTCAGCTGTGTGTGTCACACTCTGTAGGTGGCCCAGGACAGTCCTTTTTCATGCAGGCAAGGCAAAAGGTTGAGTACACCGCTGGGGTACTAAATAAACATTTTACTATGTTTTCATTTCCCTCTAAGTATATATAACTAATGGAAAATGTATAATGGTTTGACAAAAATGTCAAGGTAGTAGATTAATTGTAAATTTTCCCATTGATCATTGAATGTGCCAGCATGGTTTCAATCCATACGTTCATGTGTGTTTGTGCTCTGAGAATTGAACTCAGAGCCTTGTGCATGGTAGGCAAGCACTGTGCCACTGAGCTACATCCCTAGCAGTACTTTTGTAAAACCGGGTGTCTCTCTGTCTGTGTCTCTCTGTCTGTCTCTCTCTCTGTGTCTCTGTCTTGTCTCTGTCTCCCTCCCTCCCCTCCCCTTCTCTCCCCTTCTCTTTCTCCTCCCTCTCTCAGTTAAAGGCTTGATTTGTACTATATAGTGTACTCCTTTGCACCTTGGACACATGGAAAACACTTGTACACCACTCTGTAACATAAAGACTGCGTGTGGCTGGGGGCAGTGGCCACGAAGCTTATTCTGCCCAGAGCGTCCTGAGGCTGCCGCGCAGGCTAAGGAGATGACTGTCTCAGGAGTAGGGACAACCCGCTTGGTGGCCGCAGGTAGCGTGGCTGCAGGGTTGAGAGCTGTAATCTCCTGGAGGAGGGAAGGCGCTCGTAGCAGTTAGTGCGCTGGTCTCCATTACTGGTCCAACAGACCGTATTTGGTAGGTGCTACAGTGAACTTTTTCATTGAATTTCTTTGCAAAAGTGAGGGCTGATAGTCTGTTTCCTCAAAGGCTTATTTAGTAAGCATCTAAAAATGCTCTGTACTTGATACCTTTTTATAGTTATTAAGCTATTAAAGTACATCTTTTATTAGGAGTGTCCTTGTGTGATGAGTGTTAGCGCTGCGGAGGTGGAATTAACCCTGGCAGAAAGAGCGAGTGGTTGTGGGAACAAACGGGCTTGTCATCTTAGAAGGAGGCATCGGTAAAAGTGCGCCTAATTAAATTCCCTGAGCGAAGTGCAGATGAAATTCAGGCGGGCTGGGTATGAAAATGAGGGGCTAAATGGTGTACATTTTTGCGGGCCCCAGAGTGACTGATGGCAGCTTCCCAGGGAATTGGCTTTGTGGACCTTACATTAGGAGTTTAAAAATGAATCCACAAACAGTGGTGCTGGGCTGGTGAGATGGCTCAGTGGTCTAAAGCACCTACTTAGAACAAGCTAAGCTAAGCAAAGCACAGGGACGGCGGTTCAATCCCCCAGCACCACATGCCAGCCAGCCCCGCCCCCTGGTGGGCTGAGCTGGCCACACACACACACACAAATAAATAAATAAAATTAAAAAAACAATAGTGGTGCTCTCAGCATAGCATGGGTGCCCTCCTCAGCGCCCGATGTCGTGCGGGGGCGTGGCAGGCTTTGTTCTGAGTGCTGGCCTCAGGACTGCTGTCCTCGATCTTCACTGCTGCACACAGTGTGTTGTGTTTTGTTTCAGACCTGCACGTTACATTTGAAAGTAGAGATAGCCTCATGATAGTGTGTTTGTTTTTTAAAATTCTATATCCTACATATACTTATAAGAAAATAAGACTTGGAACAGACACTTCAAATCTTACTGTACGCTTAAATTAAAAGTAAGCCATGTTTATAACCTAATTTGGGAGAGCAGGAAATCAAACTCAGGACCTCACCCTGGCCAGGCCCACTGAGCTGAATTCATGGCCCTCTCATTTTTATTTTAAGAACCACGCGTCTTAGGTATTGAGCATGTCTGGTCTATAAGTTTGGTTTTTAACAGCTTATTTGATGACAAATACGTATTTCCCTTAAAAAGAAAAAGAAAACAACTTTCAGGAATCTGAGTGTGTAGCCCTGAGGCAGAGTACTCTCCCAGCACGAGCAGGGTCCTGAGTTTAATCCCCATGACCGTAATAAAAGAAAAAGAAATCAGCCCCCCAAACTGCAGCACTTCTAAAAATTGCAAACACTACTACTAAATAGCTGTGTTTCTTAAACTGTACGATGAGACGTTCTCTGTGTGTGGACATGTACGAATTCTCTACATTCAGAAAATAATTTAGAATGACTCTGTATTTCTTTTGTGATTTGAGTTATTATAAGATGCACCTTTGCTCGGAGGCGTACTGTAGCTTGTCTTGGAGCGGAGCGTTCCTTGGTGGTGTTGGAGTCGTGGGAGAAGCACCTGGAAGGAGGCGGGCGGCGGGGCTTTGTTCTGTCTGTTAAATACTCTGACTGCTTTTTTCTAACTGTTCGGTCTTATTCCAGGACATATTGATGCATTCAGTTCAAAACTCTTTCTGCTAGAGGAAATTACTTCTGAAGAATTAAAGGAAAAGCTTTCCGCACCCAAGTAAGAAAGTTCGCTTTGTGGTGGGAACTGGGAAAACCTGTTAATGTAATCACCAGTTTTCCTCTCTGTCAAAATACTGGTTAAGTTTAAATAATTTACTTTTAGTGCTTTTGATGGATGGCCTCACCCATCAGGGCTTCCCCAACCTGACTGCGAATCCTCCGTATCGCTTGTCCCCATTTCCAAATTGGCCACACTGCTAATCTCGCCCACCTCCCTGCTTAGCCCGAGGAGCTGGGGCTGGAGGGCAGCTGGCGCGTTGCAGGGCGCGGGCACCACTCTGCGCGCCTGCGCAGGGCAGGTAGGGTCGGAGCGCCTGGGGCTCGGCGCATGGCCTGGGCAGCATTACCTCGGTGTCCTTGTGGGTCAGCTCCTAGTTCTCTAATGCGAGGAAACGTGATTTATGGATATTGTCTCACTCGTCTCGCAGCTCCTCATGAAACACGTAGGAAGATGCGAGATTTTAGGGTCCTGGCCCAGGGCAGACGGCTGAGCAGAGCAGGCCTGGGAGTCAGAGGGCTCGGTGTGCTGCTGGGGTGAGCGACAGTCTGAACTTGGCTCTGCGGCGGGCTCACCCGCAGCCACGGACTCGCCCTGCAGCCGGGGCTCAGAGGTCCCCTCTGCTTCGCACGCATGCTCAGGGCTGCTCCCCGGAGCTGCTGCCCTGGGGAGGTCACTTGTCTTTAGCCAGGTGGTAGAGCAGCTCTGCCGTACCCTGCTCAGGGCCTGCCTCAGTTCTCGCCATGAAAATTATTGTTAAAATGAGAAATAACAAAGGGAATAAGTCTAGGTCTAGAAGGGGGACGAAAGCAGCACCTAGAGCTCCTCGCCTCCCTCGCGTCTGTCCCCACCGCTGGCTTCTCCCCTCGCACGGCGCGTCCTTTCTGCCGTGTTGTCTGCTGTTCCTCCACCGCTTTGCTTGTTGTGAGGGTGCTTCTCTTGCTGAGATCCTGAACTGTGAGAGTGATAGTTTTTAGTTTAATATTGTGCTTATTTCTTCTGTTTAACAGGGTTTCAAGTTTATTTAATGTCCTACAACATATTCTGAAAAAATTAAGTAGGTAAGTATTCTTTCGACGTTTTGCATTCATATATCTGATTCTCTTAGAGGAGCATGTTAGAAATTTGCCCAGTATGCTGCCAGGGCTAGATAGAGAAAACTAGAGAAGCAAGAATTACTTTGTCAAAGCTAAAACTGAAAACTGAAGTACAAAGAATACGGTAGTATGTGGTTTTAATGAACCTGCAGATCTACTTTCCTAGAACACTACTGTATGAGTTTCCTGTTCCTTAGTGGTGCACACCAGTGCGGGTTCCTCTGTAGTGCTGGCTCTCAGAAACCCACTGGGCTGAAGTCAGGGAGTCTCCGGGCTGGCTCCTTCCAGAGGCACTAGGATCGGCTCCTGGCTTTCTCTATTCCTGGCGGCCAGGCTCCTTCCCAGGCCCAGCGCTGCTTCTGCCGTCCTCACAGTGCTGCCCAGCCAGGTCGCTGTACCCCATTCCCTCCTCGCCCCGCTTGTGCTTTTGTCTGCCTCCTGCTCTTTAGGGCCCTCATGATTCTTTAGCACAGAGCCCCGAACTCCACGTCATCCCCGTTTCCAGAACTCCTAACCAGGGAGCACTTGCAAAGCCATTCATGCGATGTATACGTAGGGCCTAGAGGTGTGTGTGAGCCTCACACATGGCCACCGCATGTGGCCAGTATTTGGCCCACCATAGTGACAGTGAGATTTTTCAGTATGAAGCAGCAGCATAGAGGGCTGGGGAGATGGTTCAGTAGAATAAGCGCTTGCCTGGCAAGCACAGGGTCCTGAGTTCAATCCCTGGTACTGCAAAAAAAAAAAAAAAAAAGACAGCATACAGCAAGAAGCCCAGTTACTCTGTTTATGGCCCAGATTAGAGCGCATTCTTCGTCTGATCATTTCTCACACTTTTGCAGCTCTGCATACCTTGCATAGGCCCTTACAGAGAGCTAAACTAAAACACAGTTCCAAGGTCTGCACTTAAAATGTGCAAGTTTGAGTTGTAAATCGCTGTGTAACTTACGTAACTAGGCATCCGTTTCCTTATTTATACGTAAGACGACAGTGTCTGGCAGTAACTTCCTGAATACCTTTCAACTGTGAGGCTCCAGGGCAGGACCTCTGTCTCTCGTACTCTGCCCCTCATGTGACGTGCACAGACGCGCGGTGAGCACAGCCCCAGTTTGGTAGCTTGCAGGTCTGCAGCTGCGACCTAGCAGGTCTTGCAGGGTCAGTCAGGACTTGGGCCTGCCTGCCTTCTTTCCCAGGCTGCAGGGCGCTTGGCTCTCCTCCTTGCCTTGCGGAGCTAGGAGGACCCCTGTGTCACTTGGTCTGCAGCTCTCAGCCTCAGTCAAAAGGGCGAGGGGCGTCCTGCCGTCAGACCGTGGGCCTCTGTGACTGTTATGTCTCTGTGACTCATGTCTGCCTGCCTCTTCCACGTTATAGCAGTCTTGTGGTTTCAGGCCCGGCACATAATCCAGGAAGGCTGGCCATTCTCAAGTCTGTTGCTTAGCCCCCAAACCCTTTTCCCAGATCCATTGTCTTGTGTTGTATCACATGCACTATCCACAGGTCCTGAGGTTTGGGACATAACGGCTCTAGGAGCCCATTATCCTGCCTCTGGTAGTTGACGCATGTACCTAACGCGTCCGTAGTCCCGTGAGACACTTCCCAGGGGTCTCACTCTCCACCCACTAAATCTGCTCCCCCGGAGCTGGGTTGGCATCACACGCCTGTAGTGCCAGCCACTCAGGAGGCTGAGGAGGGAGGATTGCTTCCAGCGAGGAGTTCAAGGCCAGCCAGAGCTGGGCGTGGTGGCGCACATCTGTAGCCCCAGTACTCGGAGGCTGAGGCAGGAGGATTGCCTGAGTTCAAGGCCAGCCTGGGCTACATAATGGAGTTCAAGGCCAGCTTGCACTACATAGCATGACCCTATGTAAAAAAAAAAAAAAAAAGAAAAACATAAACAGCTTTTCTTCATTTTTAGAAAAGATAGTTAGGATACATGCTTTCATTGATAAAAGCTCACTCTTTGAAAGGTTATTTATTCTTACTACCAAATAAAGTATTACTCAGTTCCTTGTATGAAAGTGATTGGAAATCACTTTCCCCAGAAAAAATAATTCTGTGTACCTCCTTTGTCAACACCTATTATTTTCTCACTTAAAAAATTAATGAGGGCCGGCCAAATAGCTCAGTGGATTAAAGCACCTGCAAGCAGGCGCAGGGGTCAGGGGTTTGAACTCCGGACCTGCCATGCCAGCCCCACCCTTGGGGCACACAGATGGCAATTGAGACTGGGCGTGGTGACACACGCCTGTAATCCCAGCTCTTGGGAGGCTGTAAACAGGCAGATCACTATGAGTCTGATCTAATAGTGAGACCCTGAACACCCTGTAGACCCTTCTCTAAAATAAAAAATAATAATAATGAAAACATAATTTACTGGGTTGTTAGGCAGATCTATGTAACTAAACTGTGATTAGTCTTTACTTTTAATAATGTGGAAAAGAACTGCTGCCCTTGGCCCCGTTGATCTGGAGAGGTGTGTGTCCCAAGAGCGCAGGGCCTTATCCACGTCCCTTGAGTTCTGTGGTGATGCCTCAGGTCCCTCGACGCTTTCCGAGAAAGACAAGAATGTGGAGTGGCTGTGTGCCCAGAGCCCATGGTTTTGACAGGGGAGTCCCACTGTGGGGGCAGGGCTTGTGGAGCTGCCTGCTGGGGTTCCTGTCCGAGGCCTGCTGTCCTCAGCGTTTTGGGCAAGTTCTGAGCATCCCTGATTGTCTGTTCATCTCCAGCTTGGAGCAGCCGTTAAGCTGTTAAGGGCCCGGCGCACAGGTGGAGGGAAGCAGCGTTAGCGTGGTTCGCGCACGCTAAGCGTTCAGTAGTGTCAGCTGCCACATATCCTCGTAATGTCTCAGATTGTCCCGGGACTGTTCTGCTGGCTGTTTCTGCCACTTTAGTTTAAAGTGCTCAGTGTAGGCCAGGCATGGTGATGCACGCGGATCGCCACACGTTCAAGGCCAGCATGAACTACAACGGGAAACCCTGTCTCGGCTTAAAAAACACAAGTGCACGCTTTTGTGTCTGCTCGCCTGTGAGTAGGTACAGAGTAGGCCAGTGCTGAATGGCTAAGAGTGTTGCGGGTGTGCAAGTGTGTGCCCTTCGCAGCTGGAGAATTAGGCACGAAATTGACAGACGGACACGATAGGAAAAAAGAATGTTTAGATAGTCTCTAAATGGCAAGAAAATAGGTTTAAAAACTTATTAGATCTTAGGTTTTTGTCTGTATTGTTCATAAAACTACCTGTACAGGCGGTGTTCCATTCCACAGTTGTTTTAGTTGTATGAATAGCCCGTGGTTAAGCAGAGCGCCCTTGAAACTGTCACTGCGAGCTGGTGCGCCGAGCGTGCCTGTGTGTCCCCGGCTAGCGTGCCTCCAGCTGGTGCGCCGAGCGTGCCCGCCTGCCCCCGGCTGGTGCGCC